TAGGCTGCTTAACTTTCTAGCTGCATTTGGCTATTATCATGAATTATAGGCATTAAATAGACCGACCAAAATCTGAGAGAAATGTGTGAACCAACCTGCAGAACTTTATATATATATAATGGAGTTGAATGAGCTTGTTTTGCAGTTTTATTGCATGTCTCTACCACAAACTTTCTTTCAACAAGTGCAAATTACAGCATTTTTTGTGTTTTTAACCAAAGACATGTAGTTTATCATAAATTGCTATAAAGGTTTGAACCAGAAAACCTGTTGGTACACCTTAGACAAATTTAAAAAGAATGTAAAATGTAAACGTTTGCGCTTTATGTTTTTGTCCCATTTAACCACCTTATTATTTGCTGTTATCTTGTATTCTAGTTTCTATAAACTAAACATCCCCTTATAAAGGCTACATCAGGGTTAGGTGCTGTGGTATTGTATTTGAATGAGGCATGTGAATTAACAAAAATGCTCAGGAATTAGTTTCCATTTTAATTTAACAGTTTTCCTTTTTCTTAAATAATACACTCAGTTTTTACAGCATGTTTAGCACTACATCCACTGCTGGGACCACAGCACAACACCAGTATCATGAATATCCCTCATGTGTTGGATCCTCTGAGTAAGAGACACATTTCACCCATTTGAGGGAATAATGATGACACTTTCAGCCAAAACTGAACAGGAAGCAGGAAACAACATGATAGCAGTTGCCGTACTAAAGCCAACCATGAATTAAACTACAAATAAACTACCAAATTATTATTATTATTATTATTTTTATGTGCTGATAAATGGCTAAACTGTCAGAGCTCAGGTTTTTGGATTCAGAAACAACCAGATGAGTAAAAACAAGAACAGTTTTTATTCATTTTACAGCTGCTGGGTGAAAAATCAGGGTCCAGCTTCGGGGGAGTGCTGTGATAAAGTGGTTCATGGGGCAAATCCAAGAGCGGGGTGTGAGAGACGACGCGGGGGTCATTCACAAATGGTCAGAGTTCTAATAAAAAGTCCAAAAGGGTCAAACCTTAATCCTGAAATCCATAGACAGAAGAAGTAGTCAAAAGCAGGGTCAGATGGGCAGACATAATCAGGCGAGGAGCAGACAGAGCGGTAAATCCTAATGACGAGGCGTGAGGTCGAAATCCAAAGATCAAGGCGTGAACAAGAGCAAGATAGCTGGATATCAGGGACCATGAGAGATATAATAATCTGGCAGGGAATGCGAGTGAACGTTGATTTTAAATAGGGCAGGTAACAGGTGCTGATTGAGCTGTGAGTGTAGAGTGGGTGTGGCTGAGAGGCAAAGCATGAGAGCAGAGCATGACAAGGCAGAACTGTGACATGAAGCGGGCAGAAACATGACATAAACTAAAAAATTATACTCGACTTCTCGTTAAAAGTCAGAATTTCAAATGTTTATATGAAATGAGGCCACGTTCAAGCATATTAATTTTACTGTTGTTTAGAGCCAAGCTATACCTGCTAAGCTAGCTGCTTACAAGAGCAGGCAGTATTAAATCATAAAATGTGCTATTAGAGTAACTTATGTTTAGTGGTGTAGCTTGTGTTTTGGCAATTTAAAAGATTCACAGAGCTTTGACATCATAGAATCTGAGTGTAGTGCCAAAAGAACAGGAGCGAATGATGAGAAGTAAATGAGCTTCTCAGAGAATCTGAAAAATGCTTTTCTGCTGCAGCAGAAAGGCACAAACTGGTTCTGATTCAATCTCTGAACTCAAGGCCATGAAAGGCCACTTTGGTGATTCAAATCAGCACAAAGAGCACTCCTGACAGCAGCGAGTGGAGGAAAGCCACAGACTGGTGTGAAGGCCGAAGATAGTAACCACGGCTGTGATAAAACACGTCTCTGCTAAATCAGTTCTCCACTAATCCTGACTGACTGACTTTATTGTCACTTCTCCAGCTGTGACCAAAACAAATGGTTCAAATGCTTTCATTAATGATTTGATTAACACTGATCACTTTTCACCAAACTCTGCCAAAAATACTTTCTTTTAGTGAGTTGACTGTTTATTTCAAGATACTAAACGCTCCGACAATGTTGACATTTAAGCTTTAAGACGTTAAAATCATATTTGGAAGCTTTCTAAGGTGACTCATTCCACAGATGAGGGATGTTGCAGAAAATAATTTGACTACAGTGTGATGGTAATATTTGAACTTGAGACCAGCTGCTAAACACGAAAGAAAAGAGAAGGAATGAGTAAAAATAACTGCAGAAAAAAAAAAACACATTTTGCTTACAAGTTTTTTAAGTTTAAGGACACATAAATGATCAATACGAGCAAAATATTGTGCAGATTTGGTTTATTACTGTAGAATTTTTTTTGCTGACTGGTATTGACTTAGCACCTTTAAAGTGAGGTTCAGTAGAAAGGTTTTAAACAACTGATGATTTACTAGATGAAAGCATTTTGACAGTTTAGAGAAGAGATAAAATGAATTCTGACAGGACAGATAAGTTAATAATTAGTTCAAACACTATATATTTACACTATATGTATATATATACAGTATATATATATATATATACACATATGCCTATATATTAACTTAAGTTAATTTTTTTTTTTTTTAACATGAACCACAATAACATTTTTGAGATATGAGTTGTTTAAGACAGCAGAAATTCACTTTACTAACTGCTGGGCTTTTTATTAAGGTCATAATCAAAGTCAATCGCTTCAAACTGAAGTTACTTTTAAGAGCTACAACAGGTAGGATGTTATTTGTTCATAAATTTTCCATAAAACACCACTCTAGAAGGTTTGATGTGTCCCTTTCTTAGCAAAAACAAAACAATAAAAAAAACTCCGTATCGTTTTAATTATTAATGCTAACCGTGTTAGAAATAATTTGCACTGTTGAAGAAAGTGTTAGTACTGAAAGAAAGTGTTGGTTTCCCAGATCACAATGTTGGTTGGTTTTCTAATTGTCTCTCAGATCGGAGGCTATGCTTTCAACACAATGGTACTTCATCTAGCTTTTTAATGGTCACTAATGGTGTGCCACAAGGCTCAGTTTTAGGACCCACTCTTTTTATAATTTGTATTAATAATCTAGGTCATAATATTTCTGGTGCCTCCTTGCATCTGATGATACAATTGTTTATTGTTGAGCTAACACAGTTGCTAAGATTTTCCATCTTCTACAGTCTGCATTTGATATCATTCAGTCTGACTTGTTCCATCTCAAACTGGTGCTAAACACTGATAAAACCAAAGGGATGTTGTTTTCCAACAGAAAGTTGATGCCTGCAGTTCTTCCTCCTATCTCATCCATGCATGGTGTTCCTAATGAGTTTGTGGATTCTTACAAATACTTGGGTATTTTAATTGATGCACATCTCTTTTTTTAAGCAGCACGTTGAAAGCTTGATAACAAAAATAAAAAATCTGAAATTGAAACTGGGTTTCTTTTTCAGAAATAGATCTTGTTAAACTCTGAATGCCAGAAAATGCCTTGTAGCAACAACTTTTCTACCAGCCATCGATTATGGTGGCATTATTTACATGAATGCCCCTGCCAGCTCCTTGCAGATGTTGGATGCTGTCTACCTTGTGTAAATGAGGGCACAGAGTGTGGTGTAAGGCACCTTGAGTATTTTGATAAGATAGAAAAGTGCTATATAAGTGCAGTCCTTTTGACTATTTATCATGGCTACCAGATTCATAACTGGTTGTAACTACTGTACCCATCACTGCTCTCAGCACTCATTGGTCAGTTGGTCATCATTATCTACACATAGGCTCTCACACTGGAACATCATCTATAAATCATTCCTTGGTCTGCTGCCTTCATATATCTCCTCCCACATGTCACGCCATCAGTGCAGTTACAGCGTGCGCTCTCAGGCCATCATCACCTGCAGCATCCCCTCAGTGCGAACTGAACTCGGCAAAAAGGCCTTTTTATAGTCTGCTCCTGTAACCTGGAACACCTTCCAAAATATCTGAAGCTGTCCATTTTGATCACTTTATGGGATTTTAAACATTCGATAAAGTCGTAGGAATGTCAAAGCAAATTTGTTCTTATTGGTGTTTTACCTTGTTTCATACGGCATCTTGATTTGACTGCGTTTATAACTTAGTTTGTTTGATTTTAATTGTTTTTTTGTTGAATTATTGTTGTCTGTGCTTCAAAATGTTATCTGTCTAAAACAGGTCTCTCTTGAAAATGAGTCCTCGTGACTCACCGAGACTAATCTAAAGGTTGAATAAAGTGGAGAAGTTTTATAACTACAATCCCCCATAATTATAAGGATCAAGAAATTAGGTCGAGTGGGAACATTATTAGCAAAGCCTCATTACGGTTACATACTATTCTTTATATTCCTTTGTCATAGTGCTTGTTCCAGGGCGATGAAGAGCTCTCTGTCAAGAGAAGGACATTAGTCATGAGAGCTAAATGGATTAGACTTCAAACCCAGTTCAATACCAATATAAAGGGGAACTGTCACTTTTGTTTTCACCCTGGTGGTAAGATATTGAACACATGTCAAAGGAATGAAAATAAATCACCTTAAACGCTCGAAGAACACCGGAAGGATCTGTAGACCTGACAATGTAAGTGGTGATTAAAGCACACACACAAATATATAAATACTGTAGTGTCTTAATCTCATTTCTGCGTTTACACATAAACATAATGTCTGGGTGGCTGAGCTTTGTGCTTCGTTATATTCAGAAATCTGAGATAAAACGTGTCTAAAGATTCTAGGTCAGAGCTGAGTGGAGCTTCCCTCGCCCTGACGTCTAATGTAGGACACAACCAATATAGGATTCACTGTTCCTCAAGGCATGGTACTGTATGCATGGTGGAGGAGACATTTTCTTTTTAACCACAACATGACAAGTGTCTGGAACAGATATGACCACACTTCTCACACACAGAGATCAGCTGTCTCTGCAGCTGCACCTCTCTGATGGCGTGAACCTGCTTCCTCATGCTGTTGTCGTTCTGCTGGTCTCTTTCAGTGCATGAGGAACCCAGCTCTGCTGCTGAGGACTGCTTCAGACATTAAAGAGCTCTGCCACATCCGGGACAATGTCTGGCTCCTACGATGAACCTGCAGGTGCTGACGACACCATGGACAGCTTCTGGGAGGTAAAGACATAACTATCGTGACTGGTCTGATGGATCTCCTAACCCCCTGAACGTTTTTGTTTTAATCTAGTCTCCCTGAAACTATGATTACTCTTCATTGCAAACTGTCATCTTCACTAACCAGACGAGGTGCTGACATAAAATGGTGCGATTGTGTCCTCTTCATGGCCTCATCCCATCCGTGATTAAAGCTTTGGTGTGAAACATTTAGTCTAACCTTCCAGCAAAAACACAATCTAATATTTATAACATCTCTAACGTCTTCATTAGGGTGGAATGATTGTGCAGTAAGAGTCATTGCATTTTTATTACTGTAAAATGAGCACTTTGTATGAAAAGACTCATGCTGTTCCTGATCCCCCTCTCCTGTGAGTACCGTAGCCCAGAAGGAACACAGTTTCCTGTTTGATGGGAAGTGTTTATTGTATGTAATTAGCTATTTTTAGCTGCTGGATGTCACTTCCTCCCACATTTGAGACTTTTAATTTGAGTAAAAATTTGAGTTTTGAACTGGCGTGTCCTTGTCAGTGTTAGATCTACAGTGTCACAAGTGTTTTAGACCCCGCCCACACGCTAACAAGTTTCCTAATGAGAGAAACTGATATTTTCTAAAACACCTTCCAGGATAGAGATTTTTAAAGCCTCTGTTCATGTTAGATTCATGTAGATAGGCGATATGAGTTTGTGCACGCTCATTATGACTTAGCCCTAGAAACCGCAACAAATATGGAGCAGTTTTAACTGGTTTGGATAGGATTTTTATTTATTTATATTCCGATTATTTCAGGTTATTGCTCATTGTGAAAATTAATTGAAGTAGGTGTGAAGCACATTTAAATGGAGTGATAAAAGTTTTTTTTAAAGCTCATTTGTAATTATCAGATTTTATCATCGACAGTCTTAAACCAGGAGGTTTTTGTGGACTCTTTTATTTATTAACTTTTATTTAACCAGGCAAATCCCACTGAGATCACAGATCTCTTTTGCAAGAGAGGCCTGAACCTGAAGGCAGCCTAACATGCATGTTTTTGGTCTGTGGGAGGAAACCGGAGTACCCAGAGAAAATCCACACAAGCACGAGAAGAACATGCAAACGCCACACAAAAAGACCCCCAGGTCTAGCCAGGGATTGAACCTACAACCTTCTTGCTGTGAGTCAACAGTGCTAACCACTGAGCCGTCAAGCTGCCTCTTAGCCATCTGCTAATTGTGAATAAATATATTTCTCCACATTTGGACTACTTTAAATGTGTCCTAATTGTAAATATTGACATCAGTAAGGTAGTAATGCTGGGGGACTGGTGGCGTAGAGGTTAGAGAAGTGGGGCTGTAATCGGAAAGCCACTGGTTTGACTCCCCGAACCGAAAACATCAAAATGTGGGTGGGAAAGGGGAAGCACCCACATCTGCCTCCACCCTCATTTGACCCATTCTGGGCTCTTGAGCAAGGCTCTTAACCCTTGTACTCTAGCTAGCAGCTCTCTGCTCCATGCAGAGGGCTGTGGTAGCTCGGTGGTCGGTGGTTGTATCAGGAAGGACATCCAGTGTAAAAATAATTGCAAAGTCTTAATGCAAGTTGTAGCTGAGATGTGTTTTATCACACCCCTGAAGAAGGGAGCAGCCAAAAGAAGAAAGAGAAGAACTAAGGTAGTAATGCAAACTTTAGAAGTGCCACACTTCTATTTTTCATCTTTTTTATTGACATAAATACACGTTTGTGTAGCTTTGATCATTTTCTTCTTTTTGTGGTGCACCTTTTACCATTGAGAGACATAAAAGTGTTGTGTATAAAAAAGGACAGTCACTGAGATAAATAAAAAATCAAGCTGAAGTCCAATACAGCAAATAACGCAGGTCAGATGAAAGTACCCTCAGTACAATGAAACACATACACCGATAGTACCATAGTGTTAGTAAACATATAAAAATTGTATTCATATGAATTTTATGAGAGATCTTTTCAGATCAAGATAATGGGAATTGAAAAAAGGGAGATAAACAAATTGTGTTTGTGCGGAATTAAACAAAACTTTAGAAAAAAAAAAGAAAAAGCTGCGTATTTGTACAATGGTTGCAGTTTGGAGTGACATGTGAGCCTGTATTTCTTTTATTGTATGAAAGCAAGCAACAAATGTAAAAATTGCACAGTTAATCATTGTGTACTTTTATTTATTGTGCAGTGGTTGTGTAAATTGCTCTACAT